CTAATAGCGTGTGTATCCTGGCGTTAATAATGCAAAACCAACGTCCCACAAGTCATACTGACTCCATAAGTGGTTAATTTTGCAGATTTTGTATACAAAATAAATAAAAAACTTCATCCATGAGTATGGCCATATTCAAATTTTCCCTATTTTTGCCACCGGAAAAAATTTTCGACACACGCAATGCACACTGTTCATTACCGCACGAATTACATATTTACATACAATGAGAAAGGTCAAATACACGGTGTAATTACCTGGGTTTGGAATGTCCATGTAGTTTGGTATGTCGTCGTAAGTTGGCTAGTTTGCACCATGAATGGGTTCTTGTCTCACGTCTATGGATGCACGTCGGAATCTCGTTACCGTTCGTATGGAGTTTTGCGTTCGCAGGGATATGCGGTCTTCAAATCCTACCCAATTTAAACTTCCTTAATTATTGCATATCTTAGAAATCAATTCTTTTCCTTTTCAAATCTAATCCCCTTTTCAAATCTAATCTTTTCCGTTTTTACATTGTTAAAACATTACCAATATTGCCCTTTTCTCCATTAATTAGTATTTGTGTGTCACTATTAAGCTTTAATCCAATCCATTGATCCAATCACATCCTATGGCTAGATTATGTCCACACATTTGCATTTTAAGGGAGTTTGCATGTGAATGCAATCCCCTCTCTCTCTCTCTCTCTCTCTCTCTCTATATATATATATATATATATATATATATATATATATATATATATATAAACGAACGATGAAATTTAATTTTGAAAAAATTAATTCAAACTAAACCTGGTACGAAATCAAAGGAATTCTAAATTATTTATATAAAATAAATAAAACGAAAGGGCGGTTGAAATTTTCAAAATCTGATATTCAAACACAACGAAAGAAACGAGAAGGAAAAGAAATCTGACTCGTGTGTAACACACACATCCCTTAAAATCGATTCGCTACCTTCTTGGAGAGGATAAAACGTCCATTAAATTAAACTTATTCGCTACCTCCCTGGAGGAGGATAAAATGGATTACAGCAATTTTGAACACTTGGAACAAGAATTGAGAAGAAGAGAGAACACCTCTCCTTGCACGCACGAGAGAACTCTATTGTTATATATAATTCAAACTTTTTTTAAAAGGCTCTTGTATATATACTGGTGCAAATAAACCCACTTCCCAAACCAATGTAGGACAAGTGTTTTTTTAAATCCTTTTCACCCTCATTTCCAATTCAAATGGGTCTACTTTGATAATCAATTTATCATTCATCCATTATATGTTTTGAGCAATGTTACAAACATCGCGATACTCGCGCCTAGGCGCTAGGCGGCGCCCAGTCGCATCGAAGAAGGCCGACTAGGAGGCTGGCTAGGCATTCGCCTAGCCGACCGAACCGTCGCAACCCTTTTTGTTCTTTCATTTTTTTTTTGGGGTTATTCGCGATTCTTCACGACGTCAGAGTCCAGACAATCAGACGAAAGTCGAGAGTCAGCGATGATGATCAGATCTGAGGAGATAAGAGGAGGAGAAGGAAGAGGGCGGTGGAGATGGCGACGGCAATGGCGGACGGCGGAGAACCTCAGCAGTACTCATCCACGCAATATCTCCCCAAGGCTACCACCTCCGAGAACCTCTGATTTGTTCTCCACTTTTCTGATGGTTGCCCTTCACCCCCTCGATCTCTGTTCTGACTTCTGAATCTTCACTCTTCACCCACTAGGCCACTACGGCACTACTATGATATATAATATATATTATATAATTAAAAAAAATAAAAAATAAATCGGGCGCCTAGTCTCTGTTTCAACCTTAATTTTGAACATACAATATATTGATTTCTTCGTCTCACTACTAAGAGTGAGAATCCACTTTGACCCGACCTAAATCGGAAGTGGACCTCACATATATTTGTACCACAAAATAGTCACTTACAATGTTATTTTATGCTAAAAATTCAAACATGATATAATTACATAAAATTACTACTTGATCTTAAATTTTTGAACAAGTAAAACTCAAGATAGACACATCATCATGTGCATTAAAATTTAAATAAAGCATTTTCTTAACATTATCAGTGGAAATATATATTGAATTCAAGTTACAAATACTTGCCAAGTGAAATTATTTATTTATTTTTTTATGAGGCTCTTGAATGCAGTTATCAACATTATCTCAGGTAATAAATATTTATTCCGTAATAATTTAGGGATTAGTGTAGTAATTGCGTTTACCTTCGAAGCCAAACAAGTGAAGCAACAGAAAAATACTTCTCCAGAGGAATGTATTTAAATAGGTTTATTATAGTCTTAGAATATAAAATCAGAGTGGCGCAGCGGAAGTGTGGTGGGCCCATAACCCACAGGTTCCAGGATCGAAACCTGGCTCTCATAGAGTGGCTTTCGATGTTATTTTAGATAGTTCTTTCTGTATATATACGTAATATGACTACAAGGGTGTTGTTTGGTGATGTAGTTCAAATGGTCGTGTGCTTGCTTGCATAGTGGTAGGCTCTGTGTTCGATCCCCTGCGTCCCCACATATGTTAGTACTATTTATTATTATTATTATTATTATTATTTTTATTTTTATCATGAATAGTTATCCATTAAAATTTCATAGAGATTTATAATTACATTTTTTAGAGAACTATATTAATAGTCATTGAATGCTGGACATAATTAATTTCAAATATTAATAAAAATTAAGTTAATAAATATAAAAATAATATTGTAGAATGTAAAGTAAAATTATTATAAATATATAAATTATTCTCATATTGTTAAGTTAAAATATTATTCTTTAATGATAAAATCTCTAAAAGATAATTATTTATCATTATTTTTAAAGTACATTTATTTGATAGTTATAGTATCAAACAAATTCATAGATGACACAATTTTATGGTATATGTTGATGAATTACAATAAATAAATACTTATTTTGAAAAAATTTGAAAATAAATTTATTGTTGACCAATGAAGTTCAATACACAAGCTTTAAAAAATCCTTTCACAAATAATAAATGACTAACACTATACTTTCATCTTAAATTTAATTAACTTATAGTATACATCTCTTTATGTGATAATATTTGATTGGATATATATTATTTGTACAAGTATTTTAACCCGTGCATTGCACGAAATGAATTTGTTATAATTAATTTCAAATATTTATAAAAATTAAGTTAATAAATATAAAAATAATATTGTAGAATGTAAAGTAAAATTATTATAAATATATAAATTATTCTCAAATTGTTAAGCTAAAATATTATTTTTCTTATGATAAAATCTCTAAAAGATAATTATTTATCATTATTTTTAAAGTATAGTTATTTGATAGTTATAGTATCAAACAAATTCATAGATGATGCAATTTTAAGGTATATGTTGATGAATTACAATAAATAAATACTTATTTTGAAAAAAAAAATTGAAAATTTGTTGACTAATGAAGTTTAATACACAAGCTTTAAAAAATCCTTTCACAAATAAAAAATGATTAAAACTATACTTTCATCTTAAATAAAATTACCTTATAGTATTCATCTCTTTATGTGGTAATATTTGATTGGATATTATTTGTACAAGTATTTTCACTCGTGTGTTGCATGAAATGAATTTGTTATAATATTTGGATCGATATACAATTATATAAATTATAACAACGAATATTATATAGTGCAATTGATGAAATGAGTTGAATCGATTATGTTTTTTGATATTATCCTTGCTTGAATTTGAGCAAATAATTGTCCAATTACCTTTGCGATGCACGACTATTTTTTTTTATTATATATTTAGATAAGAAATGCAAAAGAATCATTCAATTAATTGAATAATACATGGCTCGTTTCTCTACAATTATCTTTAAAATGTAATATATATATATATATATATATATATATATATATATATATATATATATATATATATATATATATATATATAGAGGAAGGTTCAAGTGCGGTAGTGCGCTTAGATGCGGCGGTGCGGTTAAATGTAGGCCATTAGATTAGATAAATTCAACGAATCACATTCATCCAGGCTTTTCCGATATTTTCGCGCACGTTCTCACACTACGCGAACTGCAAGATTAAAGTCGTCATTGGGCACCTGAATAGATCAAATGATAGTGTTGTGTGTTTTATGTTCGTTATTGGTGCATTATTAACCTTACTGTGGTGTATTTGAGGATTCGTGTTGGTGCCAAGTTTAGGTGCGCCCGCGCCTTCCCATGCGGTCAGTGCGGGTGCACTAATAGTTATACAAATATACACAATCCATGTTAGAAAATGCACACCAAAAAAACATGTCACAAATTAGATATGCATCACCAGAACGCACCATTAGGTATGAATAAAAGCACCACACAGTGTTCAGAAATACACCATTGGGGTGGTGAGTTATATGGTGTATTTTTTGAGTGTGTTGTGTGTTTTTTGGTGTATTTGTGCATTTCATTGTGGTGCTTTTTCCTAACACTATTGGTGTCTTTTGTTAACACTGTTGGTGTATTCTGACAAGCGACCGATATAAATGACTACTACAATTACCATAACGCCCCCCACTTATCAGGACGCGCTTAAATCTTTAAATCTTCAGAAATTAGCCGCTGCCGTTAGATTAAGCAAAATGGACGATGCTGATATAGCCGCACCTAAAGCCACTATCGCATTTGAGCGCTAATATATATATATATATATATATATATATATATATATATATATATATATATATATATATATATATATATATATATATATATATATATATATATATATATATATATATATATATATATATATATATATATATATATATATATATATATGAGTAAATGCCAGCTAAGGTCATCCGAGTTTGGTGGTTTCGACACCTTTAGTCCTAAACTTTCAAATCGACCACCTGTGATCTTCCGAGTTTCGAATTCGACTTGCCGTAGTTCTTCCGTTAACATATGTCGTCTGCACCGTGAAAAGTAAAGACAAAACAATCTTTTTATTTCAACCCCCGCCAAAACAATTCATTTCCCACAAAAACTAAAATTAGCCCTTCTTCTCCAATAATTCCCAATTACGCAAACACCGTTCTTTGGCGAGACAAACCAGCGATTTCAATCCGAAGATTTCACAATTGTGCATTCGTTTCTGGCAAAGAAAGCTCGACAGTTCTACAGTTGTATAGGAAAATGATTTATTTTAGCTGGGGTTGAAATAAAAAGACTACTTTGCCCTTACTTTTTACAACAGTTAACGGATGGACTACAGCAGGTCGAATTCAACCGAAATGGACGAGTTAACGTAGGCGAATTCGGCCAAGTTAGGAACTAAGCGGTCGGTCGCCAAGGCGGGCGCCTAGGAGATAAATCGCCACAGCCTAGGGGTTCTTAGCGCATAGACAGGCGCCTAGACTGATTTTTGCAATAGTGACATTTATTGTGTGTGTGTGTGTGTGTGTGTGTATATATATATATATATATATATATATATATATATATATATATATATATATATATAAACCAATGTAAGAGCAATTCCAAAGATTACAAAGAACACATGCCCATTATTTTGCTCATAATTATGTAAGACACTAGTACAGAATTGCACATTAGTTACACTTGTACAGGAGTATCCACTACACTTGTACAAGTGTAGCGGATGTGGTGACACGGATAGTATAGAATCCGCTACACATTCGTATTAGAAAGTGTAGCAAATTCATTTATTTAAATAAAAAACAAAGAGAATCCGCTACACTTTCATATTAGAAAGTGTAGCGGATTCATTTATTTAAATAAAATAAAAATAAAAAGAATCCGCTACACTTTCATGTAGATTTTATCAGCTACAAAGATATTTTATGTAGACAAAGAGTCTTTTCGTTCAATACTTAGATCGTAATATGGATGATAGATTTCGAGAACTTTTGTAAAGAAGATTAAACATGGTGTCATTGAAATGCAAATTTGAGTTGTTTTGAAAATTTGTTTAAAAAATAAAATTTAAAGTCAAAATTTCAAATTACACATTAATACATCTATCATCATTATAATAAAGCAATAACTTTGGCCTAAAACATTTTTCCGTCCACACTAACCGGCATCGTTTTAATAAGATAACTCAACAGTCGAATTAATTGTGGCTAATAGTCTATTACCTATATAAATAAAGACTTCTAATAGTCAAAGAGTTCTAATTACACTGAGAAGCTAACCTATAATCTATATTTATTTACATATATAAAGATACAGATATACACATACAGTTATTACACATCTATATACGAGAAAATTCTTCGAAAAAATAATCTATTGAATGTAATCTTGGGTCTTGAAACGTTTCAAGCAGCATTCATAGTTCCAAGACAATATTCAAAATTGAAAAACAAATTTCAGCCTCTATATAAAGCTCCATTGTCATCTCAATATTGATTAAACACAGTTGCTTGAAGATTACGGTGAGAACACCTGCCACCTGACATCTCAGTATTGATAAAACAGAGTTGCTTGAAGATTACGGTGAGAACACCTGCACATCTGTTTTTTTTTTTTTTTTTTTTTTTTTTTTTTTTTTTGACAATTGTATTGAGATTTTTTCTGGATTATGCATGTTGACAGACAAAATTAGTAGCATAGTTTTCTGGAAACATTTCTATTCTCACCTATATTATCTACTAATTATTCAGTTTTTTATTTTTTTGTTCAATTACTACTATATATTCATGTTTGGTTTCTTTTCTATTTCTTTATCTAATTTCCAATATTAGACTATTGGTTTCTGTAGAGGATGATACTGAGGAGATGAAGGAGCAGATGCACAAGGAGATGGGAAAGGTATACACTTACAAAAGTCATGGTGCTTAATGATGAGGATATTTCGTCCCTTACTAATAGGTCTGTTGTGTGATGTGTTCCAGGTAATATCCTTGCTGTGTGATTTAATGATATTAGGGTTGCCTTCAAATCTCCATGATTGTAAAAAAAAAAACTATGAACAAGGCAGCCAACAAATATGTAATTCTCACAATCAGCCTTTCAATCCAAAACCCATCCATGAATTTAAAGTGTAAAAAAATACAAATTAAAATATTTGAATAGTTTATGATCTAAAGTGAAAAATTAAATATACAGTGACAAGGATGGCATATATTGAGCATTGATGCAACTATTTCTTCTGTTCATTTCATTTTTATAATTTACAAAAAGTTGTATTGGATAATTGTAGGTCATGAAGAAGCAATAGATGAATTATTTTTCGAAGGATTTGTGAGTTTAGAATGTCCAAAAAATGGAGTATATGTATACAATGTAATTAAATGGACATAAAGTGTATAAATTGAAAAGGAATTTGAAAAAATTTTGGATTTTCCGTGTGCTTGGATCTGATTTTGGTTTTAATGTTACATAAGCAAAAAAAAAAAAAATGTATACTATGCATGTATAAATTAAACTTACAATTTTTTAACACTGATTCTGTATTTTAGTCTTATAGTGTTGTTGACCTCAGTGTTCCTCCACCTGCAATAGTTCATTCAAAAATAAATTATAATAGTATATAAATAGTAAATAAAGTATAAAGTGTTTTTAGTATATTCAAGGACACACACAAGTTCAAATTGTTGTTTTTCAATTTTCTGATTTGAATCTAACAAAACTGAAAAAGTATTCTGGGGATAGCAAACTTTTAAAACTTAATCAATAGCCAAAACATTAAAGAGATGATAGTTAAATTCAAAAACTAACAGAATGTAAGAGATGTAAAACAATTTGCATTCTGTAAATAGCATATATATAGCATTGATGATATTCTATAGCATTGAGGACAACCATTAGGTTGCATTCTGTAGATAGCATTAGAATACAATTTCATCTCTAGAGATAGACGTTTGTACAATAATAAAACACATATTCGAAGATGAAATTAAATACAATGCAATTAATAAAAAAGAACAGAAAGTCTCATTGTACAGTGACAATGGTGAATAAAATTGACACAGTTTGTATAAAACTGCATCTGAGAAGAATGAAGCTTAATAAGTGACACAGATTGTATAACAACTGCATTTGAAAAGAATGAAGCAACTTACAAGTTCAGTTGTGATAGGGAGGAAAAGGAAACACTTCTCAAAATAAAGGTACCAACTAAAAGTCTTTTTCTCAATAGTTTGAAAAAAGTATGTACACTTTATGATTTTAAGATGATTTTATAGTTAAATACATATATTAGGTGTGCAAAATATGGTGTTAAGTACCGTAGTCCGTAAAACAGAGACTCATAGCCAGAAGAACACAATAGTTATCTACAATAGTGTATGCCCATTTTAGATTGGTAAAATGATAGTAGAGAGTAATCGTACTAGATAATGAAACTCCTAGATCACTTAGAAATGGACAACAGAACCGATTTAAACTGTTTTAGATAGCGAAATTGACAGAATTGTTTGAGTTCTGGAGTATTAGACTGAACATTAGAAACTCTAGATCTAGCAAATTAACATATAAATGAAATTCTGGATGAGTAGCGTTGTTGAGCAAAACAATTGATAGAAAATTTATACCCTAAATAAAATAGATATGAAGCCCTAGATGAAGTAATCCGAAAAATAAATTAGTTCATAAATGTACTCTAGGAAAACCCTAGGTAAGTACAACTTTATGGACAAAACAGATTTTAAACTCAACAATCATAGCAATACCGTAGTTTTTATATCACCCGCCTGCGAAGAATACGTTACTTGAACCCAAAAAATCAAAGACATGCTAGATCAGTAAATGAAAGTTTTATATTCTTTTCAGTTAATAGTAGCTATGCTAGGTGGTAATAATAGGTTGACTTTTTTATACATTGTTTGTAGAATTTGTGTATTTTTTTATTTTTTTTGCAGGAGTCAAGAGATTCAAGTCTAAAATGGTGTCCTAATCAAGATCAAGATTGAAGGTTGAAGATTGAATCAAACTGGCAGTCAAGCTATTAATGGAAGAAGTTGAACCTAATCTTTATCCACAAAGATCTTTGCAATGTAAGACATGTGGGCATGATTTAAAAACTCTGCAGAAAATGTATTCTCCAGATTGCTAAGTCTACAGACTTAGGATACCATAAGGAAATATCGAATTTCAAGTATAAGTATAAATGCTACTTACATGGCAGTTTGATTAATACTAACTTATTGATTAAGTAGTAACATCAATATAGAACACACACAGAAAAGTACACACAATTCTTTGTAAGTATGTGATATAATATTTGATCATGCACATCAGGTTAACCATAATGTAGTATTACTGAAATCAACCAAATAAATTCATAAGGTTCAGAAATGCTTACATTTATCCAATGTCATCAACATTTTGTGTCTTTAGTTCTGTCCCCTTTTGTCATTTCTTCTTTGTTAACACTGAAGAAACATTATTTGTAGCTAAGTAATCATAAAACGAAATAAAAATCAAAATGAAGTAAATAAGACACCAAAGTAAAGAACACTCAGAAAATACGAAATCATTTCTTCTGTCATTTCTTCTTTGTCAACACTCAAGAAACATTATTTGTAGATAAGTAATTATAAAAATAAAAAAAAATCAGAATGAATTAAATAAGATACCAAAGTAAAGAACACTCAGAATTGAAGTAAATGAGAGACCAAAGTAAAGAACACTCAGAAATTTCTACTTACATTTAACCCAAGAGATCAGACACAGTTTGCAAGTGGACACATAAAGGCATATCAAAATCCAAAGAAATAAGGCAAATAGGGAAGAAAGCTAACATGAAAATCACTTGCCTACTTAAAACTCAAAATCAAGAAACAAACAAAATTTAACAAAACTTTATATGTAAAAAAAAAAAAAAAAAAAAAAAAAAAAAAAAAAAAAAAACAATTTGCTCAGAAAGAAAAAACATCTCTATCAATGAAATAAGGCAATATACTTTGAAAACATAAAGACTATACTTAAAACTCAAAATTAAGAAACAAAGATAAATATCACTAAATTAACAAAATTAAATATGTAAAAAAAAAAAAAAAAAAGTGGCTCAGAAAAAACAACTGCTCTATCAATCAATGATATTTAGAAGCTTAATTGTTATCATCAATGCCACAAATTAACAAATAAAGTGGATACTTCCTTTATATTGACACACACACACACACACACACAAATTCCAGCCTCACATTAAAAAGATCTTAAATGTTTTATGAATTTAGTGAAGTATGAGTATCAGAAAATATTTTCATCACATGTCATTTTCTGGAAAAAAAATGTTAGTATATAAATAATGGAATAGTATAAAGATTTATAATTTCAAAGCAGCTATATAACAAGTCTGTTTCTTCAACCATATAAATCCAACAAAAGTTAAATAACCGTTTCGACATACGATTCAATATTCTGTTCTAATTAATAATAGAATATACAATCAAGATCTGAAAAATATGATTAGTTTGAAATATTTTTAGGAAAATAAGGGACTGTAAAAACAAGAGTTCTACTAAATTAAACCAGAATACTTATCTTTATTGTGACGAATGTGTTTAATTGTTGAATTCCTATGCAATCTGTAAAAAAACAGATTTAGAAAAATTTTTAGGAAAAGACTAGAATAAAGAAACAACCATAGATCTACAACAATCAATAACACATTGATAATCACAAAGTAAGTAGATAAAAGTCAAATAATGAAGGTTACCAAAACATGCATCTGAATCAGGAGAATATAAAACCCTAGATCTATGATTAAGCTATTTTGGGGGTAAGTTCGTTAAACATAATCAGTGTGTAGTGTGTTGGTGGTTTTAGAGTAAAGAAATTCATAGAGATAAATTAATAAATTACACGAATTACAAAGATACACAATATGATTGTCAGATTATACATAGAAGAAAATACATACCTGCCTTCGAATTCACTTCCAAATTAGCTGTAGTTCAGTAATCGGAGCAGATTAGTGATGTTTTCACGTAAGCAATTTCAAAGAAATGGTAGCTATAGAGAGCAAGATCGAGAGAAGACGAGCAAGCTAGAGGAGATAGAGAGAAGAAGCACTCAAGCTCTGTCCGGACTGTCCATTCCATGTTCTTTTTTATTTATTTTTTATTTTAATAAATATATTAGCCTTCATATGCTGATTACACTTAGAAGTAGATTAAACCATTTACAATTGACACGTATTAGACTAATATATATTATATATACAAAGTGTATTATATATATATTGATGGATTTAATTAACCCGGGGGTGTGCCCGAATCAATAAATCCGGATAAGAACGTAATATAATAAGAATAATAAGCGAATAATATAGAACGATGTCGTAAAGGTCGCTGGGGACCGTATATTATATTAATTGCCGTAGTATTTGGCTATTACAAATATCTGATAGGACAAAGTGTGTAATAAGTGTAGAATATAGATTGAATCGCCCTTTGTTAGGACAAGGAGGGGAGTTTTTATACAAGCTAACCCCCCCCCCCCCCCCCCCAACCGCCTCCCCCTAAATCGGGGGTGGTTAGATCTCACTTTGACCGGGCCCGGGCGGACCGGGTCGGGTCGGGTCCCGAGCTCGGGTAGGACCGAGCTCCCCAACCCGAGCTCCGCGTAGGTCGGCTCGGGTCCGGGCACTTCCATGGTGCTCCGGGTCTGTGTTGGTCTCGGGCACCTGCATGGTGCCCTGGGTCCGTGTTGCTCTTGGGCACCTCCGTGGTGCCCCGGGTCCGCGTTGCTCTCGGGCACCTCCTTTGTGCCCCGGGTCCGTGTTGCTCTTGGGCACCTCCATGGTGCCCCGGGTCCGTGTTGCTCTTGGGCTCCACCATGGTGCCCCGGGTCCATGTTGCTACCCCGGGTCGGGTCGTGGGTATAATATATCCATCATGAGTCCCCCACTCTCTTCGTTGCGAGTAGGAGTCAACGAATGAGAGTAAATATCCGGACCCGACCTCCATATGCGAATGTAGCCGAACACACCATGGCCGAGGTGCCTTGTGCCGAGGCGTCTTGAGTCGAGGTGTCTTGGGCCGCTCCACCTCCTTGCTCCGCTCCCCCCGGGTCGGTTTGCTCCGCGCCCCGACCTTCCTCACGCACGTGGCCCGAGCTCAAAGTAGCCGACCTTGTTCTCCGTTAGTGATGTACTAGACTTGGATGTTTTTTGAATATTTTGAATGAACAATTGGCTCCTTTGCTTTGGTGACGTGATGGTTGCCACATTTTACCTGTTACTGCCTTTCTTTGGGATACTTGTGTTTTTTTGTTTTTTTTTTGCCACCCCGGCACCAGCCGAGGCGGGCCTCGGCAGCTCGCCGAGGTAGACTTCGGCAACGTGCCGAGCTGGGAGTTAGGCCTAATTTTTTTTTTTTTTGTCCATGTGTTAGCCTCTTCAACATAGTCCTACAAGACCGTGTCATTGGGCTCTCCCGTTGGGGTTGGTACGCGAGGTCGGACCTCGTACCCCCTTAGGGTACGTTTAGGGGTGTGCAAAACCCGAAAATTCCGACCCACCTGACCGACCCGAAACCCGACGGGCGCATCCGTGCCGCGAACCGTATCCGAATACCCAACCCGAACCGAGGCTACGCTATTAGACAGATGCAAGGGGTTCGGGTGGGAGGCATTAAACGCCACCCGAACCCGTCCGATTACCCGACTAAACCCTAGGGGTTTTTTCCGCTATATAATATGATGTCGTTTGGTGTATGTATATATATCACTCATTTCATTGAGCGCAGACGAGCTCTCAGTTCACTCTTGACTCTTCTAGACTTCTCTCAATCTCTCATCTCTCGACTCTCGTTCTCTCTTTCGCTCTAGTCTTTGAGACTTTGAGTCTTAGACTCTTAGTGTCTTACTCTCTAAGACTCTGAGAGTCTTAGTCTCTGTTTGTTAGTCTGGTGGAAGCCCTATTCGGAGACTCGGAGTAGCGACTGGCGGAGTGGTGGAACGGTGGAAGCCCTAGACCCTAGTCCGATCACCGGAGTCTGGTGGAACTGTGGAACGGTGGAATAGTGGATTCGAAGCCCTTTGTTCTCGAGGGATTAAATTTGAGAAACGAAGTAATTACTAAACCCTATTTACATTTCCATTATAGATTATTGTGTATTTGTCTTCTTGATTAGGGTTTCTAATTTTTATGATTATGTGGAATGTGATACTTGTAAATCCGTTGAGAAGTTCCGGATTGCATGCCACTAGTCCTTTGAGTTTGAATTTGTGAATTGTGTGATTAGGGTTTCTAATTTGTAACGTAAATATGTGGACTCACTGGACTATGATACTTGTAAATCCGTTGAGAAGTTCCGGATTGCATGTCAGTAGTTCTTTGAGTGTGAATTTGTGAGTTTGATTAGGGTTTCTAATTTGTAACCTAATCTGTGGACTCACTGGACTATGATACTTGTAAATCCGTTGAGAAGTTCCGGATTGCATGTCAGTAGTTCTTTGAGTATGAATTTGTGAATTGTTTGATTAGGGTTTCTAATTTGTAACCTAATCTGTGGTGGAAGCCATACTACCCTAGCCCCTTGCCAGTTGCCACTGTGTGTTAAATACTGAAATCCATATAAATGTTAAGCATGATGGTATTTGTGTGGAAGCCATATATAAATGTGGGAGTGTGTCTTGTACTCATGTGTGACTGAAATCCATATAAATGTGGGAGTGTGTGACTGAAATCCATATAAATGATGAGCATATAAAGTAGCATACACCTACTTAGCTTGAATGCTTGATTATGGATTTCATTGTAAATTGTAATTTGTAAGTTGTTAGTTACTTAGTTGTAAGTTGTAACTGTGAAAATGTGAAATTATAAGTTTATGGATATGTGACCCTTAAATCATTTATGTGCAATTCTGCATACATGATGAAATGTTCAATTCACTGAATTTTGCCTGTTTAACACTTTAATTGATACATGTGTGTATGTGACAAAGGCCATTCTCTGTTGATGATTTTGAATGAGTGATTTCCCATTCTGTG